TTCCTCTGTGTGTATATACACCGCCTTTTCCTTATACATCCCTCTGCTGATGGGCAGCTGGCTTCGTTAATGGTGTGACTAGCGCTGCATTCACAGGCACGTGTCTCTGCAATAGGCTAACAAGGAGTCCTTAGAGGTGTAGCTGAGGTCTGTGGTAGATCTAGTTTGACGTTTTCTGAGGAACCCCTTTGCCCCAATTTATTTAGTGGAGGGGGTGCATGTGCACACGTGTGTGGGGGCCAGAGTTTGACATGGTTGTCTTTCTAATTTACTCTTATCTTTTGAGACAGGGTCTCTCACGGAATCTGGAGCACATCAATTTGGCAAGAGTGGCAGACCAGCAATTCCCATGGCCGCCTGACTTTGCATGCCCAGTGCTAGGTGCTAAGTGAATCCCACAGTGCCCAGTGCTAGGTGATAGGTGAATCCCACAGTGCCCAGTGCTAGGTGCTAAGTGAATCCCACAGTGCCCAGTGCTAGGTGATAGGTGAATCCACGGTGCCCAGTGCTAGGTGCTAAGTAAATCCTACAGTGCCCAGTGCTAGGTGGTAGGTGAATCCAGGGTACCCAGTGCTGGGTGGTAGGTGAATCCACGGTGCCTAGTGCTAGGCTTGATTTTAAATCTGAATGCTGACGGTTGAGCTCAAACCCTCACGCTTGCGCAGCTAGCACAGTACTGCCGCGCTGTCTCTCCAGTCCCAGCTAAAAATTACCATTCCATTTTGTCTTCTTGTAGATTATGGACAGGATTTCATACTCTTTCCTGAGAGCGACAAAAAATGTTATGATCAGATTTTTTTTAATTTAAGAAATAAAAAAACCAAACATCCATGCCTGTGATCTCAGCATTCAGAAGACACGGGCAACTGAGTTGGGGGCCAGCATAGGGTACACAATCGAAGTATCTCAAACATTTTTAATGTGTGTGTGAATGTGGTGTGTGCATGTGTGTACCTTCGTGCACAGGTGTGTGTTCATGTGTGTGTGTGAAGGCCACAGGAGGACATCTGGTGTTTTTTCTATTGCTCTTCACTTTGGTCCCTTGATAGAGCAACTCCCCATTGAACTTTTTTTGTGGCTTTTCCCTCCTAGGGATCTTCTGGTCTGTGTACCTGCCAGCACTGTTAGACACACGCATGGCCACACCTAGCTTTTTACATGGGACCCAAACTCAGTCCTTATGTTTGAGTAGCAAGTGTTCTTTCTTACTAAATTGTCTCCTCAGTAAACCCCCAAATAATGTTAAAATGCTTAAATTTCTTTTGTTTTTAATTTTGTACCTGTGTGGGTGTGTGCCCGTGTGAGTGCGTGCGCCCTCAGAATACAGAGAAGAGGGTGTTGGATCCCTGGCAGTGGTGAGACCTTTGGTGTAGGTGATGAGAACCAAACTTGGGCCCTCTGCGAGACCAGTGCTTTTTTTTTTTTTAAAGATTTATTTATTAAGCATACAATGTACTGCTGGCAAGGAAGGCACCAGGTCTCATTACAGATGGTTATGAGCCACCATGTGGTTGCTGGGAATTGAACTGGGGACCTCTGGAAGAGCAGCTAGTGCTCTTAACCACTGAGCCATCTCTCCAGCCCCCAGCAGTGCTTATTCTTAATCGCTGAGCCATCTCCCCCACTAAGGCTGCCCAAATTAATGTTCATAAGATCCCTCTGATTAGCAAAGGGAAATTGAAAGGGGCCTGCATGTCTGTAGGAAGCAGAGTTTGCAGGGGTATTGAAGAGTTCCATAGTGAAGAGGGGACAAAGACTTGATTGCAGCTCTGATACGTGATGTTAGGAGAACAAATGAGAGAAAGAGAGAGAAAACTGCACAGAATCTGCTCCACTGCTGCAGGACCGAGAAGGAGGGACACAGGACACTCCCTGGTTCCTGCTTGAGTAGACGGGAGAGTGATGGGCTGCTATATACTCCCTGCATGCCAACGATGCCCGATGCCCACCGCACCACTGTTTCTCTGTAAGGGAACTGCTGTAAGTGTAAATATGTCGGCAGAAATGAAAATTTCCATAGAGGAGCTGGCATGTGAAGGTTAAGAGCTCACCACGTAAAAACTTAAAAAAGGACTCTCCCGGAAAATAATAATAATTAAAAAAAAAAGTATGGACTTAGTATAGCAGCCTCCTAACTGACCTTTCCCCCCACACACACAGTTTATGTCAACTCTCTCAGGTCACTCTACATCTAGGGTGTCTTCTCTCACCCAGCCTCCCAGGACACCTCTATCTAAAGCCTCCACTAAACTTCCCAATGATTCTGAAATAAGGCAAAGCACCAGAATCTGTAAAGTGGCTAACAAACCCTCACATAACACGGCCCTGGCTTGCTTCCCAGCCCATTGCCCACCGTTCTTTCCTTCCTGAGTCCCAGCCAGAGACCAGAGTCACGTGTTGTGTTTTTGTTACTGTTCTCTTTGAAGAGACTCCCTGACCAAAACAACTTCTACAAGAAAGCGTTTAATTGGGGCTTGTTTGCCATAGAGGGTTGGTCTATTATCATCACAGCAGGCAGGCATGATGTTGGAGTCGTAGCTGCGAGTTTGCACGTGACCTACAGGCAGCAGGCAGAGAGAGAGATTGGGCCTGGCTGGGCTTTTAAAACCTCACAGCCTGCCCCCACTAACACACCTACTCCTACAAGGCCACACCTTCTAATCTTTCTTAAACAATTCCACCAACAGGGACCCAAACGTCCAAATCTATGTGCCCATGGGGCCATCCTCATTGAAACCACCACGTGTAGTAAACCTGTTCGCTCCTGCTCCCGGGCTCATCTGAAATGCTCTGCGGTGCCCAAGGCACATTCCCAGGACACCCTGAATCATGACTGGTTCCCACTTATCTGTATGGCTATTGAGCCACTCTTCCCCACTAGACTGTAATTTCCGTGTGCCTCCTTCATGTGTGTAGTGTGTGGCATAAAGGAGGTACTTTTTAAACAAATGTACTCTTGTGAACATATAGCACGTCATAGAAATTGCAGCCCATGGTATCACATGGTATTCACATATTATGAAATGTGTGTAGCATATCTTTTTTAAAATTTATTTAATTTAATTAATTTCTTTATTTATAAAAATTTCCACTTCCTCCCCTCCTCCCAATACCCTCCCACTCCCTCTCCAGTCCTAAGATCAGTCAGGGTTTCCTGCCCTGTGGGAAGTCCAAGTTCCTCCGGGTCTAGAAAGGTGAGCATCCAAATAGATGAGGCTCCCACAAGGCCAGTCCATGCAGTACAATCAAAACTCAATGCCATTGTCCTTGGCTTCTCAGTCAGCCCTCATTGTCAGCCACATTCAGAGAGTCCAGTTTGATCACATGTTCCATCAGTTCCAGTCCAGCTGGCCTTGGTGAGCTCCCATTAGATCAGTCCCATTGTTTCAATGGGTGGATGCACCCCTCGCGGTCCTGACTTCCTTGCTCGTGTTCTCCCTCCTTCTACTCCTCATTTGGACCTTGGGAGCTCAGTCCAGTGCTCCAGTGTGGGTCTCTGTCTCTATCTCCATCCATCGCCAGATGAAGGTTCTATGGTGAGCATATCTTAAAGCTGTATAAAATCTTTTTTTAGATTTGATAAATGAATAAATGAACTTATTACTGGAAATGAGAGTTTTATTTTCTGCAAATCTATATACATGTTTCTATACTCTGTATTTTGTGGCTCTTATTCTAGATTGTTCTTTAAATATTGTTCCTAGGCATATGTTTTAACACCGTATTGGTCTTTTGAATATATTTTTGGATTCTTATAATACTAGATTTCAAACATTTGGGCTAGATATGGGATATAGGTGTATGTGTCTCTATATAGCTTTGGGTAAGAAGTCAGTACTAGGTGCTTCCCTTATGATGCAAGCAGCTGAAATTAGGTTTAGGGTTCCTAGAGAGGACTTGAACTAGTGACCAAGGTCCTTCACATGTAAGAACATCTGTAACACTAACAGGAAACTTTCCGATGTTCTAGCTTACTCTGACTTCAGGAGGAGGGTGTACTATTGGGATGGGAAGTTCAAAAGGGAATCTGAATTTTAGGACTAATAGCTTCAATCTAAATGTTCCTGGAATCAAAAGCCTCAGACTGATGTGGGAGGGCCTTCCGTCTATGTATTGCTTTTATTGCTTAATGAATAAAGAAGCTTTCTTGGCCTTGGCCTGTGATAGGGTAGAGCAGAGCTGGGGGCGGGGCGGCCGGACAACTAAACTGAATGCTGGGAGAAAGAAGGCGGAGTCAAAGAGAAGCCATGTAGCTCTGCCAGAGACAGATGCTGGAGGGAACCTTGCCCATAAACCACAGCCATGTGGCAATACACAGACTAATGAAGATGGGTTAATTTAAAATATAAGAGTTATCCAGAAATACACTTAAGCTATTGGCCAAACAGTATTGCAAATAATATAGTTTCTGTATGGTTATTTCAGGGCTGAGTAGCCGGGAACAAACAAGCGGGCTCCTACAACGTCAGACCTCCACTTGTGTCTGATCTCCTAGCTCCTTCTTCTTGGGCTGTGAGCATTTCAGTTGGTGTGGTTGGGGCAGCCCAAGGTAAGATGTTAGTGCAGGTTAGTGTGGTAAGACTTGGGAAGAAACAGCAAACAGCACTGGGGGACTGGCAGGAAAGATCAGGAAATAAGTAGAATCTAGTAGAAAGCAGTTCCTAGCTTGGGAAGTAGGGAGGGAACGGGGCGGGGGGATCCTTCTAGGTCCTGCTAGAGAGCAGTTCCATACTGAGGAGCCTGATATGACCGTGAGGCTGGGACACACTAACTGATCAGAAAGCTGCTGGCCCCTGCAGTTTAGGGTTGCCTTGGTGTTTCCACATCTCTGAAGAAAAACCTGAGGCAGAAAAATGGGGAAAGGGGTCTGCTTGGAGTGGCCTGCCTTTCACAGTTGAGCAGAAATTACAAGTGGCCCAAAGAGTGTGAATTTGGGGATGCATCAGCAGAGGCGAATTTCTCAAATGAAACTCCATCCAATGAGAGACAGTTCACGCAACTTCATATAAACTTTTTTTTTAATTAGTGAAACAGTTTGTTGCATTATGGGTAGAAATAAAATAAGGTCAGGAACCACAAGAAATGAACCAACTGTGTAAGGTACATGAAGAACATAATGACCAGACTTTTTAAAACCAGGCACAAGCAATTTACACCAGGTACAATGCTCAGAGGGCCTTTGGAAGGATTCATACCGCAAACAACTTTGAGCATCCTTAAGTGAAAACCCCAATAGGGGTTAGCGGTGCTGAGCTTGTTCCATTGGATCATTAGTGATCTCTGTAGAACACACGCAAGTAAGGTCTATGGGGCAGAGCCTGGAGCCTCCCTGGAAATGTCCATCCCTCACTCTGTGCCCTCCCAGTTCCCTGCCATCCTGTGGTATGAGAATGCTGGTGGCCCCACAATCTTTGGGACCTTCCCAGGACAATGGTCTCAGCCCACACAAAATGGGTACATTTGTTGTTAGTCAGTCTGTAATTCCGACTGTGGCTTGTGGGTTTGCCATGAACCTTTTAGAAGGAAAATATCAAATGTGATTTTGAGCCATCGCTATCAATAACCATGGGGCGGATAGAGAATTAATCTATTTTTGGTCTCCTTTTCCACGTGAGATTCAGTCTACTATATACATCATTAACTGCTGTAATTTCTGTGTTAAAAAACATCTCCTCAGAGATGACCACGTCCTGAAAATAGGAATGAACCAATTAGTATGCACTAGCTTACCAATTTAATTTATTGTGGATAAGTAGTTGCATAATGACAGTCAGGTGTAGTGCACACCTGTAATCCCAGCTCTCGGGAGGCTGAGAGGGGAGGCTCACCATAAGTTCAAGGTCAACCTATGCTACCTAGTGAGTTCTAAATCAGCCTGAGCTACAGAGTTAAGACTCCATCTCAATGCATGAAGACCAAGATATGCTAATTACCTAGTTAAATATTGATAAAGTCTAAAGACATTTGTCATTATTAGAGATGAAGTATTTTCAATTTGGTTTTCACAGCCATGTTTGGGGTACCAAATATTTCTACCTTGGTTTGTTAAGAAAGGTGAAAATTTAACGAATCTGTCCCTTCAAGAAGGGACACAGCAGTCAAGCATAGTGGCTCACCAATCCCAGCACTCGGGAGGCAGAGGCAGTGGAGATCTGTGAGTTAAATGCCATCCTGATCTACACAGTGTGTTCCAGAACAGTCAGGCCTACATAGGGACATTCTGTCTCAAAACACCAAAATTAAAAAAAAAAAAAAAAGAAGGGAAACATCACATACTGCTGTAGTGTCAAGAGAGGAAAAATTTGGGCCTGTATATTAAAGCAACATTTTACCTCCAAAGTCATATGGGTAACTTCAGTTTTTTAATTCTTTTTGTTTATATTGAAATTCAGTTTTAATCGACGAAATTCAGTTTTCATGAAATTATATAAGAGGTTGGCCAGATAACATATAGGGTTCCTCAGTAAAAAATCAGTGGTGAGCTCTGAGAGTCAAAGACAATGCCCTTCGTGATGGCTGAGGTCTGATGGCTGGGACGCCATGGTCCTTCAGGGACCTGAAAAGGAGTAGCTGGCTTCTTCTCAGACGCCTCATCCGAAGGGCTTTCTGTCTCGCACTCTAACACTTGTTGCTCTGTCAGGAAAACGACTGTCAATGGAAGCAGAGGGCACTTAGTGAGTGACGGAGAGCCACCAAACACTGGCTGGGACCAAACCTAAGGGATGAATTTAAAATCTTCTTTTCAAAGGTGAACTGCCTTCCTGGATCTCTATGTGACGTTAGCTATCGGCAGACGGGCTTTCCAACATTCGTAATTTTTCAAATAATCACTCAATATTTGGCAGTCACCGACATTCCTACCACCATCCTATTTGGCAAAGATGTCTGGGGATACATGCCATTGATTCTGGTCTCCCGGAGTCAGAGGCGTGTTTCTCCATTGAGACAGCTCTGACTAAAAATGACAGCCAACCTATAAACTCACACTGAACTCTACTCTAAATGAATACCCTCACCAACACTGTCAGGACATCCTCCTCCTCCACAAAAGCACAACCTAAAATCCTCAGGAGCGCGATGCTATCTACTGACAGACACCACCCACCCAACCCTGCCCACGTGACTCCCACTTACCATCAAACACTCGAAAGACTGAGTTATTTTCCTGAAGGGATTACAATCTTGAAGTTAGAGTGAAATACAGCATGTAACGTCTCAAGGAAGGAAAGCAGACACGCTTGCAGGGCGCATCATATGAAGTTATCATTTTACCCTGGGTGCCACACTCTTCCTCTTGTGTAAGGAGTTGAATGGAGAAGAACAGGAAGCCATACATATATATTTTGAACACAATTTGGAGAATGAAACACACTGAGTCAGGTCAGGTCAGCTAACACTAACAAGTGATGCAGACTTTGTATCTACAACGGGGGTCACAAAATCCCACAGCTCCCAGAGCCCAACCACAAAGTTTCTACACAAGTTTATTAGATACTTCCTAGACACATTAGAACTATTGCAGAGACATGATTTGATAAAGTATAATGTCCAGCCATATCACCCTGCTCGTCACCCTCTGTCCAGGAGTTCTCCTTCCTTGCCAGCACTGCGACTTCTCCCTCTTCTTGACGGGCCAGGAGCCTGTGAGGATTCAGGGGTTCCCCTGTCCTGGTCCACATCAGGGCGGTGCACACGCTCTCTCACCAAGCTCAGGCAACAGGTAAGTTTGATTAGGATCGTATGAGGGGTGCTCTTTCATCCGCCGTGCCCTGAGACAGACAACAGAAGATGCCACGGGTTAAATGTTAAGGTCGGCAACATCTGTCCTGATGCGAAAAGTTGAGGCCAGGTGAGGATGGAGAAGGTGGAAGGAGGAGAAGCTGGGCAGAGGTAGCTCCCTCCACTCTCCGCCCAGCTGCCTTTGCTCTTTAAGACTCTAACTGGACAGACCGTTAGAGGTCAGTTCTTTCTCTCCAGCCCCCAATACCAGACCTGTAATCTCCCCTCTCTCCTCTGGACGATATAACCATTAGCATCCTGGACCTGAAACAGCCTCCTTCCTGATTTGTAACCTACCTGGGACCAGTGCTTCAGAAGTTGTGGATGCTCACTGACGCTCGCAGAAGCCCTGAGGATGGCTAATGATGGGTGCTAATGAACGTTCCTAGGAGGTCTGTTTATACCTAGGAAAATTCTGCCGATGACAAGGACTGGCAGATCCATAGACGTCAATGGTAGACAGTTTGTCTCATTGCTAATTCGGGCTTGCCTGACAAGCATGAATGAACGTGACATACTGGCAGGGTTAGCCAAGCCAGCATCTCTCATACGGCTTCAACAGTTTCATCTCCTACTTCACACTGCTCAGAAAGTTTAGCAGGAAAACGGAAGGGAGAAACATCCCATAAAAACCAGAAATTACTGAGCATTTCAGAAGGGTGCCTAGGCCAGGTCTGGCGGTTCAAGTCTGTAATCCTAGTCACCAAGGAGACTGAAGCAGGAGATTCACAAGGTCAAAGCCCAGCAGTGTCGCAGAGCAAGTATAAGGTCAGCCTGAGCAGGTCAGAGAGACTTCTTCAAAAATATGTTTGTTTTTAAGGACTGGGCATATGTCTCAGTGCTAGAGTGCTTGCCTGGCGTGTGTCAGGTCCTCGCTTCAGCCTCTAGTTCCTCAGAAAAGAAGGGGTTCTACAGAGGAGCATCATGAGGTGTTCAGCCTCCTGGGCACTTGAGAGGCTGTTCTGAGCCAGTTTGTCCCATCCTTCTGGAAACGAATGATTCTCATGTACTCACCGTTCCCACTGCTATGGGATCTCGACCACAGCACCTTCAGATACACCAGGGATTCAAAGCATGTTACTGCCCCTTTGCTCTACAATATTGGAATTAGTTTATCATAGATAATAGCTAAGTTTATTAAGTAACACTGAGCCAAGTCCTCTGTGCTTTCTACTTTGTCCGATCCTCTCCAGAAACTCACAAAGGAGACACTATTTCCACTCTATTTTACAGATGATGAAATTGAGGCCACTTCAAGTGTCATATACAGACTGGATTTGAACCCAGAAGTCCATCACCAAAGCATAGGCGCTTAAAGGTTTTATGTTTCTTTCAAATTATTGTTTTCAAAGATGCAAAGCTACCTCGTATGGGATATATCCAGGAATCCCAAGTCCACCAAGAGAGCCTTAAATACCAAACGACACTGGTGGTTCTATCACCCTCCCTATCCCAACACACATCAGCCCTGCCTCCTACTTGGCCCATCGGTAATACAGTCACAAAAATCAGTACTTCCTTCCTCCATAAAACCCTCAAATATACCCAAGGGAGCCAGCTGACAGTCCTTCAGTAAAGCTTATTGAGGAATTACTCAGGTAAACTTATCAATAAGTGTGGAATATCTCTTTACATTGTGTGAATATGTCTCTGTAATTGGTTTAATAAAGAGCTGACTGGCCAATAGCTGGACAGGATAAGCTTAGACAAAGGAGCCAAACTGGGAATGCTGGGAAGAAGAAGGGACAAGTTAGGAGTCCCGAGCAGACACAGAGAGAAGTGAGAATAGCATGTTGTACCGAGAAAAGGTACCAAGCCATGCAGCAAAGCAAAGATAAGAAATATGGGCTAATTTAAATGTAACAGTTAGCTAGTAACAGGCCTGAGCTATTGGCCAAGCATTTATAATTAATAGTGAGTCTCCCTGTGGTTATTTGGGAACTGGTGGGAGGGAAAGAAAAGTCTGCCTACAAACAAGAGAGAAATTCCCCTAGCTAGCACTTACTTCATTCATGGACCCCTGTCCTCGGCACGCAAGCCATGTGAAAATCAAGCCAAGGAACACGCCCAGTGCCATGATGATGTAGGGTATGTTGGTGACGATCAAAGTCGTGTTAGTTACAGACTTCAATCGGCTTGCAGTCTCTTTGTCAATGACGACACTCTGGAGGAAAAAGAAATAGTATTAGCCTGAGAATTAGATTGTGTGGTTGGTATGTGTGTGTGTGCATGTGTTTCAAACAATAAAATACAATTTGATTATGTCATTTTTTTAACAAACCAGATAAACTGAAAATTCACTCAATATTAGAATAACCAAAGAGGGAATTTACTCATATATTTTCTCTTGAAGACAACTCTAACTCTTAACATAACTTGGAAAAGAGAGAAAAGATATTAAGAAATGTTGAGATAATATGTATTATGGTTCAAGTACGAAATGTCCCCACTGGCTCAGGTTTTAAATGTTGACCACATCTTGAAGTACTGTGTTTGTTTGTTTGTGTTTTATTTTGACACAGGGTCTCATTCTGTATCCCTGGCTAGCCTGGAACTCACTATGTAGACCAGGCTGGCCTTGAACTTGTGGCACTACCGCTGGAGTGCTGGGGTTACAGGCGTGTGCTGCCATGGTGTACTGCTTTTGAAGACCACGGAGCCTTTAGGAGAAGACGACCTCACTTCTCTCCTGAGTCCATATTATGGCCACCAGTCTCAACAAAAGTGATTCAAATGAGTTGTGGTGCTAACAAGAATTGGGGAGAGAATTCCTAACGGAGGGAAATGCTCTAGAACAGCATTTTGGTATGAGAACAGAGGTTTCCTCACTCAGTGTAATGGGTGAAGCATCAAAAGAGCACAAGTCCCTAAGAATAATAATGGCCCTGCTTAGTTTGCTCCGGTGTGGGGTGGGGTGGGCTGTGGTGGCGGTGGCAGGTTCTGTGGCAGATTGTCCTGTAACTGTCCTAGGTTTGTCAGAGTTGGGGCTTCCTCCTGACAGCAGTCTCTAGTGTCGTTTTCAGGCCTAGTACTTTTCTTTTCTCCCCCTCCCCTCTTCTTCTTATCCTCTCCCCCTCCCCTCCTCTCCTTCCTTCTTAAGACAGGGTAACCCTAGGTCTCACTAGGTAATCCTGTTTGGCCTTAAACTCACAGAGATTCACATGCCCCTGCCTCCTCTCCAGTACTAAGAGCCATTATGTCTGACCTTGACATACAATTTTTTAGGAATATTTTATTGCTTTGTTTGTTTGCTGTCATTTGGTGGTGGCGGCAGCAGTGGTGGTATGTGTGTGCGCATGCGCGCGAGTGTGCGGAAGCTGGAAGTAAGAAGACATTTCTCGAGGTTGGTCCCATCATCCACCCTGTGGGTTCTGGAGTCCAAACTCAAGTTCTTCAGCACTGACGCCAGGCACCTTTACCTGCTGAGCCATCTCGTCTGCCCCTGACATGTGACTTTCACAGAAGGTGCCTGGAGCTGTCAGGGCTTCAGTGGAGGCACAGGCTTCAGGGGACAGGGCCTGGGCGCTTTTGTCACCTGTGTAGCTTGTTTCTCACATAAGTGGCACCTCGGAAGGGTGTTACCTGGTGCTCTTGAGACAGAAAACGTCCAGATAAACGCTCAGGTACAGACCCCTCCCACAAGTATTAAAGAGAGCTTTTCTGGGGGCAGTATATATTTTAAAAGGTCACCATTGAGGCTGGAGGGATGGCTCAGCAATTAAGAGCATCACTGCTCTTGAGGAGGACCTGGGTTCAGGTCAGAGAGCCCACATAGAGCAGCTCACAGCACCCCATAATTCTGCTTTGCGGGGGTCAGATTGTCTTCCAGACCCTGTTAGCACCTGTGTTTACACTCACACATGACGCATGAACACACATAATTAAAAATAAATCTTGGCCAGGCAGTGGTGGTGCACACCTTTAATCCTGAGTGCAGCGGGAGGCAGAGGCAAGAAGATCTCTGTGAGTTTGAGGCTAGCCTGGTCTACAAAGCTAAGTCTGGGACATTCAGGGCTGTTACACAGAGAAACCCTGTCTTAAACAACCAAAATAATAATAATAAATCTTTTTTTTTAAAAAGCCACCTTTTCCTCTCTTCATAACTTAAATGGCACACCACTACAACTGTAGACATCATAATGGAAGTATCCCAAGCTTGGGCCAGTAAAACATACTTCTTCTCTTGATCAGGACTTACCTCATTGAGATACATCACTGGGAAAACCATGGTCCTGATGTCTCCCGTTTCACTATAAAGAGAAAGGATGGTATTATGTCACAGATATCCTCACGAAAACATCTCTCGTCTGGAGAGACATGATCATACAAAAATTACAGCACACTTAATACACCCAGTCACCTAGAATTGACTGTGGACTTCTTAGTTAGCTTCGCAGACACATATAAATCAGAAGTCAAGACCACAATATTATCAGCCAGTCATGCAAAACTGCACGGGTATGTGGTATTTTATTAAAACATAAGGAGAACTGTTCAGCAAGGATGACACAAGCTGCCACTTGGGCAGTTTCTAGGCCACCTACACCTGCCTCTGCAACAAGAGCCAACTGACCCGTTTGTCCACCCTGTAATCAGTGTTTGGGGGCTTTGTTTTATCCAATTCTTGCAGCAGTCACATGTCATGGCTCTCATTATGTGCATGGTGGGAAGAAGGGAATCCCACTAATAGAGACTAGGGAATCTGCCCTAGATCACCGGGAGTGAGCAGTGGAACCAAGATTGTAATTCCATTTTGAGTCGGAGGGTCTAGCTCTTAACTATCATAATAAACTGTTTCAAAAATACACAGACAGGTGCCGGAAGACATCCCTGTAAACCATGTTTGCTTCTTAGAAGGAACCCATAACATGGGATTAAATCTGGAGAGTTCAATGGGGAAATCCATCATTATAGATGGATGGATAGATGGATTAGATTAGACTAGACAGTAGGCAGATGGACGGATACATAGAGAGACAACACATGTGTGGTTTTATGTCCTTGAACTTGTGATCTGCCAGCCTCAGTCTCCTGGGTAGCTGGAATCACAGGTCTGTGCTGCCAGGCTCAGCAAGATTTTTGACCTTTTCAATACAGAACAAGACCCTTACATTGAAGGGATCACCTATCACCTTTACGTTCATTTCTGTGAATGAGAGCAAAGTACAAATACGTATCTGGTACTGTCTACATTGGTAATATATAGGAAACTCAGTACCTATAGAAGGCTTGCCAAAATTATGTTTTTGATCAGTATTTTCTAAGATCTAAGAAAAATCCCACTGGCAAGTCTGGGCAGGAAGCTATACTCGGGAATTCTTACTAAGAAAATGTGGGAGAGAAAGGCTGCGTTCAGCCTCCTGCAACTGTTCAGATGAGAACTTGTAGGGATAGACAAGTCGAGACGTTAGAAGTAGCTCTCATTACTCCAATACCATGCCTACCCGAAAGTCATGAGGCAAACCCCACCTCTACCTCCGTAGGAAGAAATGACGCTTACACAAAGTCATCCAGTTTCTTAACATAAGTGTTGATTTGGAATCTCTTGGCTGCTCTTAAAATGATTCCAGTCAACTGTAGATAAAAAGAGAGAAAAAAAATTAATAGTTTTTCCAGCTGTATTTTCAACAGAGTGTAACTGTGTGTGGTTCTGACCCACAGGGACCCATTGCCATATTTAGCAGGCAGAGAGAACAAGGGAAAACTGGTCCCTGAAATGGAACCACGAGCACTAACTGCGCTGGGTGGACTGGGCTTTGTGGGGGCTGAGAATCCCTGGGAATCTGGTAAGACACAGATTCTGATTGGTAGATCAGGGTGGAGCATGAAACGAGGCATTTCTAGTAAGTTCCCAGGATATTGCAAAGCATGGAACACCCCATCAGAGGCTACACATTCTGTGTTGGGTATGGACATTTGGGTGATTGTCCAGAGCTAAGGGAGGATGGCTTCCAAGTGCAGGGCTCCCTGTGCCAGAGTGCTGGAGGCATGGGGCAGCAGCCCCCGAGGGGCACTGAGGGTACAGGACTTCACCCATCCCTTAGTGACAGGCCCTGCTGTTTGATTGATGAGAGGGATCTAGGTGGCCAATGGAGATCCAAGCACAGCCACACTCGAGGGCTGGGCTGCAGCTTAGATGGCACAGTGCTTGTGTAGCGTGTGTGGAGCAGCACAGTGCTTGTGTAG